GCACCGGGCCGCAGCAGGGCCGGCGGGGCAGCCTGCCTGCTCTTGGGCTTTGCAATGCACGAGATTTGGACAGGAGAATCTCTTTTGATTCATACACCTTTAAAATCCAGTCCCAGCTACTTTGGAGCAGTTCTGAGGTATCTCTCATTAATCTGAAGAATAGAAATGTTAATAAATAGATCTGAAACTTTTCTGCTATGTCGTTCTATAATACACTGCTATATAGATATTAAATATGCCTCAGGGTATTAAAAAATTTATGAAAAAGTTACAGTAGTTGATTTTCAAGTATTAATAACTTGGCTATGTTAGCTTGTTTTTAAATACCAAAATGATCTGGCCCCAAATTATTGACTAAACTCTGGCTACGCCTGAATTTAAAAAAAAGTATTCTGAATATAGAAAAAAAGTGCAAAAAAGCATGAGATGTCAGTTAACGTTGTAACATTGTTGGAACTTCTAAACAACCGGTCTAGCACTCTTTCGTCAGCGAATAAAAAAGGGGAAAAGAAGGAAAGGAGGTAAAAGAAAAAAAGAGCGAGCTTGCTCCCAATCTGAGACAGCACTGTCCCAAATTTCAGCAGAACACGAATTTTTACAGCCAAGTTTTAAACCCCAGAAAAAATGGGGTTATCAGTGGATATGCGGTCAGACATAACTATAGCAGTATTTGTGTGCTCCGTTATAATACAAATGTACACCTTACCCACCGTTTTCTCTGAGTAACCATGAGAACAACTTTACAGGTATTCAGTTAAAACTAGAAGCCTCCCTTCTTTCCCGTCCTCCCCATAAACTGTACAACTCTGTCTACTACTAAAATTCACTGCTACTAGTAGTCATCATCATACATTCAAGATAGAAAGTAAACTACTAAAACCTGCTCAGGAGACACTCAGAAGTACGCTAAGGCTGAAAAAGTACAGCAGCTCAGGGGAATGGCCACCCACATGGGCGCACAGCTTCGTGGCGTATTTTGCCCTAGGACACAGACATTGTCAAGTCCCGTGCTGAACCCTGACCTCAGAGCAACCGAAACAGTTCACAGAAAGACGGTTTCGACCACAGTCACTCACACTCGGTGTCTGGTGTGCGATACGACCCTTTGCTGTTTCAACTAGGACGTGAGCATTACTAGGGTGGTAATGCCAATAGGACTTACTGTTTGCTCCTGTGCTAAGACTGATACTTTGTTAGATTTGGTTCACCATTAAACATACGTTCATCAGTTCATCTCCTGAAAAATGATTCAAAGCATGGTTAAAAAAAAGACTGAAAGCAAGAAAAAGCTTTCTAGTGTCAACGCACGCATACAAAAGAGGCAACAATTTCAAACGATTGATTTTCTTCCAGTGCGAGCAGCTGACCCGTTGCGTATCATTCTGCACAGATCTAAATATAGCGTTCTGCATCTCTGGGAACCACTGGAGTAGGAAATCCCGTGATCTAATGCAAATTCAAGCCAGTCGAGTGAAACGAAGCAACGGAATGATAATCCAGTTTCAGTGACCTTGCTCATGGATGATGACCTCGTGAAGACAAAAGCAAAGGAAAAGGCACAAGGCTCAGATCTCATTGATAGTCCTTTCAGAGGGGCAGTATTCAGAGGTTCCCGGCGACGACATGTAGAAGGACTGCGTTTTCCTTTTTAACCTGGCTCTCTTGTTGGCCAGAGACAGGCTGCGCCGGCTTGAATTGATGATTTCTGAAATAAACTTCTTGCAGTCCACGCACACCTCCATCGTGCTCCAGTCCTCCATTAATTCTTTGGGAAACTCTTCATGTGACTTATCCACAGATTTGGACCTCGAGGTCAACCTGAAAGGCAAAAGAGCAGGACCTATCACATTATTCAGCAGCGTGGCAGTGGGCCCCAAGGGATGCCTTCAGGAAACAGCACAGCAGAATGGTCTCGATTCAGATCTTCCTTTCTCCTGTCCCAAAAATGACACCAGGAGACCCAACACTGGAGAGGACAGCGTCTGCCTGGTTCGGCGAGATGGCAGGGTCACTAACTGAAGGCACGTGTAACATCTACCTCGACAAAAACAACCTTACTAATAACTATAAAGAGATGATGTGTTCGGCTAATTTGACACAGCACCATAGCACTAGTGATTTACGCAGAGGGTTTGTACTGTAGATCCCCTCAAAAGGAGCCTTTCTTTTATATTTAATTTCTTGGATTAGCTTTGACAACCATCTGTGTATAAGATATAAAACCAGTAGATAACTTCGTCATGTCAAAAAAAAAAAGGTGAAAGGTCGAATGAGAAAGATTAGGGAAAAAAAAGATAAATCTGTGCAAGACATCATTAAATTCCCATTCAGTCAGTGATTCTCGCCTGCAAGATTCATCTCCAGAGAGTCTATTCACACTAGAAAGAGACAGGCAAAGGATATTTTTGCAGAGGTGCTACGGACATACAGTTGTCCCAGACTCATACCATTTCTCACCTGTAATGTGAAAAAGGTTTAAGACACACTGTTAGTATTGCTATTTCTGTAAATGAAAGCAATGAGTGGAAGAGACATGGATGTTCAGGCTTCGGAAGTTACTACAAGCATTAGAAACATTGACAGCTACAAAACAGGTAGACAGTAATTAATGACTGATAACTCAAGAGGAAACATTTAGGAAGCATTTCCAATCGACACACGTGGGCTAGGACCGTTTCTCACCTGGACATGCTCCGCAGCGATCGGTGGTGACTGGTGGAGGGTTTCTCTGGCCTCATAAAACTTTCTCCTCTTTGCAAGGTTGAAGGTCCCAGTGAGAAGATGGGGAGAGTAGAATATGGCTTTGATGGCAACCGCATCTGTTGTGAGAACAGCAGAAGGAGCATGCAGTATCACTACAAAGATTTTAGCTTTTTAGAAAGGGTCTAACCGTATGTTTATTTACTTACTTTTTTGCAACACTGTGAGCATACAGGCCTGCGTGAGAAAGCAAGAGCATGAATCACTTAATTGGGCAAAATTACATTTAGATCAAGAATAAGGGATAAATGTTTTCAGGAGTTAGAATCCTCCCCCACCCTCCCCTTAAACAAACATTTTTATTTTTAAAGCTTCTTCAATGTAATAAGTTCAATCAGAACATGAAACCAAAAGCGAGGAAAAATGCTAAACAAGAACTACAGCTAAATTAATAAATAAATTAAAAAAAAAAAAAAAAGAAAGAAATAGCTGTTTTTCCTCTAAAGAAACCTCCTTTGGTAAGTGACACAATAAATTAGTGATTCCATACATCTCCAGACTTATTGTCTCACTGTTCAACTTAAAAATCTTTCATTTTGCCTGCAAATTATTCCTTTCCCTTTCCTTTCCCTTCTTCAAGGTAAATTGCCTTGAAATGTTTTCTGCAACAGTAGAGATTATGGAAGTGTTGATTGGGGAGTCTGAATAAATTCCATCTTGCTCTCCCATGAGCATAAAAGAACAAACAGATGTTTCTCTCACTTCTAGCCTAGAGTTTCAGTCCAAGGAAGCAATTCTGTCACTTAGGAAGGATCTGGTTTTGCATAATTTTTTTTAACCTCAACTGTTACAGAAACAAAAATCAACAGTATGCAGTGGAAACATTTGGGGGTTTCTAACATATAAATCAGTATTTTTCCCTCTGAAATGGTATTAATTTATTAACAGATATTAAATATTTACCTCTTACAGAACTGACAAGTGTAAGACCAGGTAAAGAAAGAAAACCTTCTTGTTCGACAGCAAAAGCAGAGCTAAAAGAAGAACAGAGAAGTCCACAATGTTAGGCAAAGTCCCACACAATAATGACTTCATCTCTCGGCTGCCATCAGCGAGACCACAGTTGCAGTACTACATCCAGTTCTGGGGTCCATGCTTCTAAGATGGTATTGAAAAGAATGGCCCAGAATTGTATCTTCATGTATTTAGAAATAATCCTTAATTTTTTTTTTTTTACCTAAATGAAATACTTGCCAGGTACTTATTAACTTATTTTTACCCCTCCCTCACTGATGATTATGTTATTACTACACAGAAAAGCAATGGGAAAGTAAGGGTAACAGCAGTAAGGAAGGGTAACTGCTACAACTGAAAACCAAGAACAAATGGGCATAAATTCAGCCATGAATACATTTAGGCTGGAAATTGTTCCTAACCATCTGGGTCAGGTTCTGGGACACAAAGTTTTTGCCTGTGATAACATTTGATGATCTTCTTCCAATCCTACAATCTTGAAAACTAGAGGAGGTGCAAGAAAGAGCTGTTATAACAATCTCAAGGAAAACCTGCTTTATAGTGGGATAATAAATCCCACCTATTCAGTTTATTCAAAGGAGGTAGGGATCACACCTTATGAACATTTCTAGGAAGGAAAGGCATTGAACAACAAAAAGTTTTGCAATCAAACAGAAGATGACCTACTGAGATCCAAAGACTCAGGTGATGCTAGGTAAATTTGGTTAGAAATAAAAGTGAACAATTTTAGCGGCAGAGTAAATTAATTAAAGCATCAACTTACTTTGCAATCTGATAAAAGCTCATTACTAAGCTTTATATATCATGACGATATGCAACAGCTGAATCTAATAAATGACATTTTAAGATTCTTGTCCCTCTGCCTTAAATGTATTAAATCTTTAAATTAAATCTGCATACTAGACACAGGTAGGCCTGTAGGTAAAATACACCGTGAAGTCAAATTACACTTGCTGGAGGTGCGCAAGAAGCGCAAGTCAAAAGTGGGAGAAAAGGACACTGCTTCTACTGGTAAATACCAATTTCTAATCTGCAGTTTACAGAAAAAAAAAAAAGCAATAGTTAATGGGTTCTCCAATATTAAAACCTCTTTCTGGGGTCACATGTTGTCTGACTTCTCTGAAGGCTTTCATTCCCTCTTTGCTTGATAGTGAGGACGCATATGAAGAACCTGTTCTAATTTCTTACTGCTAGCTGTAATTCTATTTTCTGCAATAGAAATGCTAAGCAATACTGCAGAAGGCATGGGGACAGAAATCACTTTAGTCAATGAAGTTTAAAACATACACATACAGATACGCTCTGATAATTGCAAACGCTGCTGCATTTTTATAGACAATCTAAACAAATAAGGTACTTCCATGAAAAGTTTTGACGTTTCTGCACGGAATTCAAGGAAGCTGACCCGTATGTTACACATTTAGGGGGAGTTTGGTGGACATGCCTTCTTGTTCTCCAATACAGGGTAAGAAACAAATGTGTAAATGGGAGGCTTGCGCGACCGGCCTCCCTCAATAAGATTCGGAGCCTCCACAGACCCAGCCCTACCTTTCCTTTCTTGAGAGCAGTGTAGACGTCTTTATATTGCTGGTACTTTTCCAGCTCCGCCTTCACCAGCACCTGACGGATGTGCATGACTTCCTCCACCGTCAGAGCCAGGCATTCCACCGGGTGACAGAACTCCTCCTGGAAGCCAAGAAACCAGTATTATTTCAAAGCCAAATGGCTTCTTCCAGACTTCAACCTAGACAACCAGCCACCTGGTTAGTAACTCCAGAAACAGAGGCTTTCTCCCTTCAAACTGGAATAGCACTGGCTCATTCATGGGCATCACATGAGTTTCAAACCATCGGAGACTGCGTAAGCATGATCTAAATGGTCTGATGTTCAGCCTTCACAACAGTGACAGTTTTCTTCATCTTTCCTCCTCAAACCACTTGACCCTTCTCTCTGTTTGTCTTTTATTACGAAGATCTGTTTCAAACCAATCAACGTTCAGGCTTATAATTTGAAAGGGAAATGGTAATTTGCCAGATGGTATTACTATTAAGTATATTGTTTGAAGACACTCAATTTCTCTGAGACTTTGTGGTGCCCAGAGTGGCCAAGGAAAGTTGTTAGTGGCCCATTCTAGCAGAAATTTTTATTCAGTGGTACCGCATCTTGGTGCTCACATGATCAGAATCCCACCACAACTACAAAAAGTTACAGCAGTTCAGGCAGAAAAGTCCTCCCTTCTGCCCCAGGAAAGTAACAGCAGCAATTTAAGCCTTACAGAATAATCTTCAAATATAAACCCAGAGAACTGGTTACCCAATATTGCGTTTTTAATGGCAGAGACTCAAATAGAGACCAACAACACAACTTCCCACTTAAAAAATTTTGTGTCTGTTCCGTATTACAGCACTTAGGAGAATATTGAGCAGAGAACTCCTGAGTTTTGTTTGGTACCAGAGAATAAAAAGCACCAACCCAATTTGTAATCCAGCCCTGTAGTTGATTATACATTTCCAACAGAAAGACAGAAACCTCTGTGGGAACTCCCATCGCTTTATGCTTAGTGAACCTTTTCAGGCAGCCCAGAGGGGCTACTGTGCGGTAACGACAATGACATGTAATGCTCTCTGAATAAATGAAGGAAATTTGTCCTGCAAATACAAAGACCTGGCTGACAGTTTGGAGATCTCGTTTACAAATTGGAGTGATGAATCGGATTAGTAGTGAAATGCTCCATTTCCATGTACTCAGAGGTCTGTTCTGTCTTTCCATTAGATTAAAAAGAAAATCTTTCTACGTTGCAGACCTGGCAAACATTAGCATTTAGGAACCACCACATTTTTAAAAACTGTTGTCTTACCTATCTAGAAAGGGAACACAAAGAAACTTCGCTCTGTTTAAGGTACCCCACAAAAGACTAGAATTGAGTTAACTTTGTTAGATTTGCCAGCTAAACCTTTGGGGCATAGAATCGCTAGTTTTCTGGAAAGAACAAACTACGTCAAAAGCAACTGCAATTTGCTCTGAGGTGTAAAACTGCACAGCCAAACCAAAATAACTTCTGTTCCTTATGAGCAACTTTACGGCTAACCAGCAGCTCCCAGCGTTTCATTCTGGGTTCCTCCCGTAGCAACTGCCTGGCTATGGAGAAAGCACGGCTGAGGAAGTGGGTGGGAAAGCGTGATGCGCACAATGCCAGCGAGACCCTCGATTCTGCATCGTGGGAGGCTGAGAGAAACTGTCCGAGGTGAATGAGGCTGACTGAATGCTTGTCATCAATCAGAGCTTTAAGTCCTTTAGAAATACGTTTCTTACTTGAAGCTCTTCCTTCCCCCTCATGAACGCCCATTCCTTTAATTTACAGAACGATGACGTCAGGGAATACTGCTCCTTTGAAGAAAGTCTGCGGATCTGCTATAGGTGTAGAGCAGGTACTAGGGGAATAGTGTGGGCCTGTTGTACCAATCGAAAATGATTATCGCTAAAGCAAATAGAAATAGCTAGCAGGCAACAGGGGAAACATAGAAAATGTTCACATGTTTAAATGCTAATGTTTTAATTCCAGAGGTTACACAAGGACAACAAAATGTTAATGCAACATTAAATGAAGGATAAATATTATGCTCATTTCAGAAAACTGCTTGGGTTTTTTTTTCCCTCTTTTTGGAATAAAAATACGTACATGAGAAAATCTTTTGTTTCAACACTAGCTCTAAGGCATCGAAATTAATTAAAATTACGCTAAGCACTGACTAAACTTCATTAAACAATGACGCTTTGGAGTTATTGCTTAAACTTCCAACAATAATCTGCACCCAAGTTAGGCAGCTCTAAGTGAGAGAACTTTGGCTCTCTGCAACAGTTGCATACAAGAGAAAATACTAAAGACAAAATGTGGTCTGAATGGTCTTGATTTTCTGGAATTTTACTCAATGCTCATTTTAATATTAAAGACAAGTCAGCATTCTTATTTTTAAAGGGAAAAAATCGTACTTAAAAATACTATTTTGAACTTGAAGTTTCCATGATCCTCATGAGAATTGACGGAACACTTGGACTGTGCAATCTTATTATATACACCATAATAGCTTAAGGTGTATATGTGTAATTTTTTTTTTACTCAGGAAAAGCAGGCAGTAAGAATTACATATCCATAATGTGAAATAAAGTGCTTTGTAGGTCATTCTCAGCATACGCACACCTAATAGGTCCTTACGACTAACACATTTTTACACTAATATATTCCTTGTAAAACTTTGCATTAAAGGATGTCGCTAGGCATTCAAATGAGCTGCCCTAGTAAATTGCAATATGAACAAGTGCCAGATTGGTCTCTAAATTCTGCAATTCACAATTAGTCAAGCACTCTAAACTCTTGTGGCTTTTGCAGACTAAAAGTTTCTAAGTAGTCAGCTGAATATGTCAACTATGAACTCTCCTGCAACAGGTTTCACACTTTCACTTATTGGTTGGGACAAGAAAAAGATAGAAAAAAATTAAATTTTTCATGTTCAATTCTACATAAGGGTGAATGAATCAGTTTTTCTTTTCAGTGGATTTGCCTTCCCTGGTACATAGCTGTTAGTTATTCTGCAAGTTATTCTGTTAGTTATTCTGCAAGTGTGCTGAGGACCAAAACCATATGTAGGTTTTCAAGTAAAACAGATTGCAAATGCCCTTCCATTCTACATAGTGCATCTTGTTAGAAACACAAAACCTTATTCTTTTCAACATAGTCCAAGGATTACAATAGTTTTGCTGGATTTTTGCTGCAGGATCTTCATGTGCTGTAACATTTAAGGTCTGTCCCATTGACAATCTTGTGATGTTGCATTTTTAGTTTGCTGTCCTTTCAGAACTGATTTCTTTTCCCCGTGAGGTGATTGAAGACACACAAATATCCTACACACACTGAAATCAACGTCAATCAGGTGCAATGTCCCAGGCTAAGCTTTAATTCTTGCCACAGCTTAGGAAGTGCTCCCCTAGGAGGGAACATGCTGGTGAAGGTGATTTCCAAAGCCAGCAAAAAGAGGCAAACCTTTGTGGATTTCCACCTGCTGGCAAAAGCTCTCTCACAGAGATAGTACATAGCCCCTGCCACCCCACACATGGCTGCTTCAACGGGATGAGAGCTGAGCAGAGAAGCTGTTTGCATAGTTGAAAAAAGTGGTCTGAAAGTCATCCTTGGAAATAAACTGGTTATCCTAGGAACCTGAACAATAGATAGGAAGCAGAGAAGCGAATGCTGTGTATAAATGAAGCCATTAGCTTTGGTCCTCTGGGTCATGAAAAAAAAATGATAATGATGATGATAATAATAATAATAATAATTAAAAAAAGCAAACAGACTACAAAGGCATCCATATGTACATCTTAGGACACTGGCTTCATCTCACTGATTAAGCACCAAGTCAGCTCACTACGGCCAGCACACCAACCAGGGCTGACCCCCCAGAATCACGGAGCTGCCCTGCCCTTCCCTGTAGCGCTGGTAGGGTGACATATCAAAAGGACGACGCTTGGCGTTCTTCCAAGCTTGTTTCCCCTCCCCAACCTACTTAGGTCTAACTCTGATGAGATGCCAGTTCACAACGCCGTCGTTAGTATGCAAGACAGACCAGTTTCTTGCTAATCCTGCTAAGAGACTGTAGCAAACCCCTGCCTGTTTTCACTGGCATTGAGGGCTATTTATTGACGAGGTCTCTTTCACCTTGAAGAGAAACTGCGGTCACAGGAGCAGGTGATAAGAAATGAAACTCCATCAATCCTGGAGGAAGGGACGAAGAAGTGTGAAGTCAAATAAAAAGTAAATAATATTCTACACTTACTGAGAAGCGTTCACTCCAGGAATGGCAATGTTACATATGCAGCATCTGGCGCAGCCACTGAAAGAAGCTGGCATCTCTCCGGGGAAGGAGAGACTTGCAGTAAGCCAAAGCGTGGAACTGGGCCAGTGCCAGCATATCAGAAACAATCTACCAAAACTAAATCCAGAAGTATTGTGGGAGTTGTCTGTCACACCCTAGAGGGCACTATTGCCAAGGTAAAGAATTAGCTCTCTAGGCATCAAATAAAATAGGTTCTTATTAACAGAATGTCATTTCACTATCGATTTTCCTTCTTTCTCACTTCATAGCCAAAACCAAGCTAGGTGACAGTGCTCTGAAGATAAAAAAAACCCCAACCCCAAAACCCCCAATCACAAAAGAAACTAGTACAACCTTTCCTATGCGTTCCCACATTGGCCTGACTTATCTAATGCCTTTTTCTCCCTCTTCCTTCAGTATTTTTAAGGGGGAGTGGAATAATTGAATTAGTTTTTCTGCAATGGTTTTATTTTTTATATACTTTCTAGGCATATGTCAGTGAACAGACTGACATAAGGAAAATACACGTGGTCAAAAGGTCCTGTTAATAACTTGGTTGACCTATTTAAAATAATAGCTTCGTAGATAAGATTTTTAAGTTACATGATCCCCTCAAAAGCATGCTATGAGATCAGTATTATGATATAATATATTTAGATACACTGAAAGTGTGATGGAGCAAATGCCTCAGTATAACAAATAATGCTTTCTCCCCTCCTCCTTTTAAACAATATGTCTGTGAATGATGCTGGGCTTGTGCTTCCACATATAGTGAGTGCAGCAGGCGATGACAGGGCAGTCCATTTTATATGATGGTGTCTTCAAATGCATGCTGAAGGAACCCTCCAGCTTGGTCCTGGTGCAATATGTTCTGCTCCCAGTTCACTTTGGCAAAAGAAGCCTACTTGTGTTGTGCGTTTATCAACATGCTACTACCTGACCTTCACCTGGAATGAGAAGCTACATTCTACCTGGAAGGATATAATAAGCAAAATCCAGCAGAAACTCTGAAAAGAGGAGGAGGAGGAAGCATGTTGTGGAAATATTTGGAGATTATTTTCTTGTTACCATTCAACTTCATCATCTGATAGGTTTGGATTCTGGCCACCACCTCTTGGGCCAACAAAAACACTCTTCAAAGCCCATTAATACCACTGCACCACAAGACAGGGTGAGTGAATATTCCCTTCCTTTCAAAACTAGGATGTGTTTATCAATTTCTCTATTCACTAGCACCTCATGGGGCATACTTCGAAACCCTGCTGATAGGAAAAGAGACGAGGAACATATCCTGCATGAAATTACAAAGCACTAATCAGTATGTCAGCATAAAAGAACCAGGATTTCATACCCTTTGCTGTTTATGCTCTGTTGGAAAACAGCTCTCAATTAAAGCTAATTGATCAAACGTACTGTACTTTCTTTTCAAGCAGTAGTACAGGTTTTTGCCTCAGTAATTTCAACAAAGCAACATAGACAAACCTTGGTTTGGATTACTGAAAGAGCTTTCACATGTATAAACATTACCACACAAGTTCTTAGGGTGGGAAGAAAAGAAACCATTCCATTCATTCAGCCATTAACTAAAATACTTCCAACAACTAAAAAATTCCCCCAGATCGCAAAATAGATCCACTGCTTTGGAATTGTCTCTATTCAAATGGAAATCAGCAAGGTGAAGTTCATCTGTTTCGGTAACATTCTGAAATAAAATCAAGGCACGTGGCTTTACTCAGAGTCCTAATCAAAGTGCAAATGTTTTCTGAGGCACCTGTACCCGGGATTTTGGATAAATACGCTAGAGAGACAAAGTTCAAATCTTGATTTCAAAATGTCTTTAGTAGCCAAGGGCTGTTTCTGAATTGAGGAGTTTTCTTTGAGTCAAGTTCTAATCACACTGAAGCCAAGTTTTAATTTTCATTATACTCTTAGCATGCCTCTTTTTCTCTCTCCTACCACCCACTCCACTTACAAGTGATCTGGAGCTCTGCTTTGAAGGCGGTAGGAACTGTCTCACATTGGTTGGTGTTTCCTTTTCAATGGAATGTCGTCTCTGAGGTGGCTGCCGTCTCTCAGGCTGTGGTGTAGATGATATGGGCAAGAACTTTGGAGGCACTAAAGATTCAACCAGTATAAAAAAATTAGTTCTTGTAAGACAGACTGTTGGATAACATTGCTCAGTACCTAAACCAGCCACTGATTTGCTGGAATTCCAGCTATTGGTGGCTGAAGTAACACATCCATACTCAGAGCATCTTCAGGACATTCATCACATTTTCCAGATTGAGAGAGTAGGAATACTCATAAAACTAGCAAATACAGGCATGCTACTGTCCAGTTAGCATTGTATATAAATTTGGTGTTTCAGGGTATTGGCTTACTCTACTTATTTCACCATCATGCACAGAAAATACATGCACAGATTACACGTTTCATTACAAAACCTTTTCAGTGAAGCTGAAACACTTTGAAATAAATGAAAAATATTGTTACACAGTAATGCCTACAATAACCATGTCTGAAAAAAAAGAACAGATCCTCCCCTCTTTCCAGTAAGTACTTAGGAGAAATACTGGTGATTGCTATGTGTCTTTCAAACAAGTACATTCACTGCCACAGTGACAGAGATGCAGGTGACATTTAAATTGGCCTTGAGTTAGAATGTGTTTCTGCAGCAACAAACCCTTTTATGAGATGAGCATAGCTAAGCTACCCCCCATTCACTTCTGACTTCCTCTACAGTTCCACATCAAATTCAAGTATGAAACCACCTTCTGTTTCACAAAGATATCCACATACAGTGCAGTCTAATGACTTCCAATCATTAATCACATTTGACCTATTCAGCAGGTTCTAGGGTTCAGCTTTAGAGATTTATTGGATTAACAACACTCAGCTTCAGCTTTCTTTAAAAGTTTCAGACAAATTTCATAGAACAGAAGACAACAGAAGTGTGTAAAAGCAGCCACTGGGCGCTCTCATCAAAACTCACTCTTTCTGCTGCTGGTGCCTTCTTGAGAGGGGTCTTCCACTTGTGAGGGGGAAATGCTGCTGCTACTTGCTGATTTGTGCACTGATTCCTCCTGTGTGGCAAGAGGAAAAGAACCAGAATTCCTCAGGGATTGTTTTTTCTTCTCTTACTGCTTCTTAGCACACAGAAATCACAAGCTATCGAAGGTATTTTGCACCATTCATCACTCAAAGCCCTAGAGGAAGTCCTGAGGAAAACATTGACTCTACACAGCACTGAGTAAATGGAATTTTCAATGCTCAGGTTTTTTAGAAACTGGAATAAATGGTACATGGTTGGAATTCAGTGTATTTAACTATCACATGAAAGAACAAGATCAGAAGAGAGGTGCATGAATCCACTGTAACCTGCTAATCTTCCTCATTGTATTTGAGGACTTCTCAGGATCTGCAGCTACAGCAGATACGTTAACTCAACTTTGTATCTCACACTAGCAAGGAACTAGCACTTGGATTTCTCCAGTCTCCAAAGGAATGAGAGCCACTCATACAAGTGACTCATGTAAAGAGAATAATCTGATCTCCACTGCACTGTTCTCTAACCCCTAATCCTGGTGTGCTTCTCCTTTCTTCTGTATTTAAAAGAAAACATTCATTATATAAGCATGTTTCATCACAACATGAAAGCGAAAGGGGCTTTGACTAACACCTTCCGGCTATCTAAAGCATTATGCCACCCAAATTATTAAATCCTTTGCTTTCACCTAAAACCTCTGTCTTCAGCTACCAGATACCAGCAAGATACAGATCATCACAGGAGCCTCCCAAAGGAACAGAGTTGAAGGACTGAGTGTGAATGCTCTTTAGCTCTAATGTGGATGCTTTTAAACAAAGAGACTTACATCATTTAAGTTGTCAAGATTTACAGATCAAACAAGTGACCTGCTCTAAAATCCAGCGAGTGGCGGAGCTTCTCTCTCACAGATTTCCTTAGCTATGTGAATCACAAGCAGGAAAACCTCCACTGGCTGAAAGATTGCCTTCTTTGGAAACAGCAAGCCAGAAAAGAAATGCTGGCAGGATCACCTCAATGAGCACCATGCATCACAGGACAGAAGCCTCTACAAATTCCCATCAGGTGATCTGTACTTTACGCTTAGCCCAAGGGTATGCATTGTATGTGAGGACACTGTGATGTATACTGTTCCCATGTATATACCACAACACAGTATTTTGCAAAGGGACTCAAACCAGCTCAGATCCCAAACCAGTATATTCACTTTAACATATCAAGTATGACCATGCAAAACAGTAGTTATGGGAAGCTTGTAGGGAATTCTGAGCAGCACATATAGATACATCAGCTGTTTCACTTCCAGAAACCAGTACAGTTTACCTACAGAGCTAGCTCAGATAGCTTTGCACATCACTGCTTCATGCTGCATGGTTGCCTTAAAAGACCACTGGAGAACTTGCAAGACAATTGGCTGCACTGTTCTTTAGAAGGGGTGCAAGAGCGTTCACAAGTCTAGAGTTAAACATTTAAATTTTGTGAAGAAGAATACTACTAAAACTACTAAACTTTTCACTTTGTATAAGTCAGATTCTTCTGAGTGGAAGATTACTTTCCCGTTGCCAGAGAAGCTAACAAGCTAAGACGAAGAACTAAGCTGTCAATTAAAAAAACATAACCATGGTGCTGTGCTGCTCATTTTTATGAATGAAGAGCAGCCAGGGCCTCAGAGAGGGCTTTCTGAGGAGCAGGCAGGGAGCAGCCAAGCACTCCTTGCTTTAGAGGAGTCTCTTGTTCTGTGAGACCCTACCTAGTCCTGACCAAAAATTATAAGTCTTTCAGTTGTTGGCATCTTATGCTGTGGAGTTTTACAAAAGACTGAATAATGATTCAAGCAACAGTCTATGCATTGAGTTTATTTACATGCTTTTCTGGGGTTTTTTGTTCTCCTTTTTCTTCCATTTTTCCTGTGTCTGAAACACAGGCACAGAGAGAAGAGAGACAAAACAAGGTACACAAGTGAAAATGTCAAAAACCTATATATATTTTAACGTAAAACTGTAAAACAGGGATTACAGAAATGTTTCACATGTCCATCTAATTTTGCTAATTGCCACCTTTCAATGGAAAGAAATAGCTATTGACCACTCCTCATTCCACTTCTGAACTCGAGATGGACATGATGTCTCGGTCACATGTTGCAAAACTAGGTAGCACACAGATGTCTCCATCTTGCTCCCGTTTTTGTGAAAGATTTCTAGTTACTTCATTGGTAATGGATGAACACTGGCTATTCCAGTGGCCTAGGAGTCTCAAAAAAAAAAAAAAAACAGAGTGAAAGAAATGGACAAAAACAGAGAGCAAGGGGCTTCTCTGTGGTAAAGACCTACAAGAAAGCTTCTAGGAGCCACACTTCTTATGAGAGGGAATGAACTGTCAGAGCCAATGGCTAAGTATAAAAATTGGTAAGTATAAACAACCAACCCCAGGAGAATGGAAGACAGGAGTATGTTACATTTGACATATCATCCTACTTAGACAGCAGGTATTCCTGGTTTCTCATTTCAAATTACTTTTTCTATGCACAAACATGTGCAATGAAAACGCTATTACTGCCCTATGATTTCTCAAACATGGAAGGCTTTTCTGAGAATGAAATCTTGTGTAAAGAAGTACTGATGAAGCATCGTATGAATTTCTTCATATCAATACAGTAACTGTTGGCTATTATGGTAGACTATCTGACATTCTACGTTTGAGGTTGGATCAACCCAACATCCGGGACTGTGCACTTCTCCACAGAACGCTAAACAATTAGAATTTTACATGTATTGATAAAGCTGCAGCTTTAAAGGCATCACCTTAAAACATCTGAATACGTTACTGACATGATTTTTGTCTGCATAGCTGTAGCTTTGGTTAGAACACGGCGCTAATAACGCCAAGTTCACAGGTTGAATCCCTGCTTACTGCAGGGGGGGTTGGGCTCGATGATCTCTCAAGGTCCCTTCCAACCCAAAGCATTCTATGATTCTATGATTCTAAGATACCATTTTTATACATTTATCAAAAATCACTATTAGATTGCTACTTCTTTTAGCCACACAAAGCAAAATGGCACTTCCTGCTCCCCCTCTGAAACTGTGATTCTAGTAGCGAAACAGAAAAAAGCAAGGGCAGAAAGCAGGTTTTTTTTGCTGGCTGGGACTAAACCACGACACATCCTTGCCAGCAAATGGGCATAGGGCTGTATCAAGACCTTCCCTTTCACCTCTGGCCAGCAACACTGAGTGTTGGGGCGTAGTCTGTGTCACAACACAGCTGAGAGAAGAACAAAGGGGATTCAGGGGGAAGAAAACGTGTCTGCATCATAGCTCATCTGGAGGTCCACAGCTCAGCAGTGCAGATATTTGCAGCCTGTAATTTAGGGCATAACACAGTCATAATTTAACTCCCAGTGAGTAACTCTAACTAGGTTAAGCCCAATTCAAATTGCAGGCAAAGAGGTGGCCGAGTCATTTATAGGCAATCAGGACAACGCATACGCGCTTCCATGCGTTACATGCAAAATAAAAGTCAGGAAAAAAAAAAAGACATTTCAACAGAGCAATCTTCACTTTCTTCAAATGTTTTAAGTCCCACCCCATTCATCAGCTTGGAAAATTTCACCCAAACTCCCTTCAGTTTGTTTATTTATATTACTTAAGCACTGTTCCTGAGCCCCAACCAGCATTCTGCTGAGCATCTTAATAGTCTTAATTGCTTCACCAGCTACTTCTGTTGCCTCAAACCAGTACAGCATCTGTTCTCTGTGACAGCTTGATGTGGCTGATTTATTTTCAATTTATCTTTTGCTGTACGTTCCAGAGCTTACTCTATATGACTTTGCTTGCCAGTATTCCCTAGTCACAGTCAGACATCTTATTTTTCCCTCCTACAAGAATCACTTCACGTTTCCCTTTGCAGAATTTTCCTTTACTGACTTCTGCTCATTTTTCCGTGTGAAATCTCATGCTGCATTAGCTTCAGGATGCACGTTGCTACAAGCTGGGAAGCTGTAAGTTCAAGATCCGACTCTCATTGACAGGTCTTAATATTCCTGCATCCTGCCCAGCTTCATTCATATTAACAAAACCTCATATAGCCTCTATTGTAATTTTAAAGACTGCTGAGAGATTTCAGAATGCAAATCTCTTCTGCTTTCAGAACAGATGCACCGAATTATGCACCCACACAAGTCACCATCAGGATAAACCTGAACACAAAGAAGGCCAACCTTTCACAGATCAAGAAAGTATGCAAAGAGATAAATTTCTCCCCACATATATTTCTCCCCAGCCTCCTATCTTTCAGCTTAGACGCCTTTGTAAGCGCTCTGTCAGGAAACCCCTCCTTCCCCATTTACTAGAGAGAAAGAGAGTCAGGGAAGACTGCCTTCCCCAGGCTAAAATTAGCCTCTGTGAATAACCCTGCCTGCATGTGCTTTCCAGACAGTTTAACTTTCAGAAAGGTCCAAACTCAATTAATAATAGTACTGGTCCAGAAGACAAAGCTCATTCTTGAGGACGTAATGTTGGTACTTCTTGAGGGTCATACATAATGCAGCTTTTAAGCTAGAGAGCTTTTTTAAGCTTTTCTCCTTTTTATGCCTTTTTAAATCTTTAACTCTCCATTGGAGAGAGGATGGTTCCAAGTTGTTTCTCCATCTAAGCGGTATTTTCTTGTCCCTATCTGTGAAACATTTCTTGGGTGTTACTTCCCAAGCCTATATAGCAAACTAACACACTGACACTTGCACCAAACTGCAACCCCTCTGGCACAGCTGATGCTCTTTCTTTAGCAGCTGGTACGGTAAGGCTGGCCTTGCATCTGAGTCCTTTAGTGACAGCTCTTGCATGGGTGCCAGAAGGGTGCAGCACATTTGCCTGCATTCCCAAAAGCATAACTGCTACATATACACTGTGGACAGATACTGGGCATTTAGAAAAATAAGTAAATACTGGCTTTAAGGCCAAAATTAGCATTTAACCTTTTAAAAGAATATTCTCATTTGTGAGGTCTGATCTAATATTTTTGCAGTTCTGTGGGCTGACAAAGCTGTCATGGAAAATTCAGATGCTAATCTGCAAAGTCAGTTCTCAGGAATAAGACTCAATTCTGACAAACGGAGAAGCAAGTTGTGTCCTGATTTTTTACCTCTGAATCTGAGCTGTCAAGTTCAGCCAACGTGGGAGCCTTAAGGAGTCTCTTGCGTTGTACTGTCACTTGTGTGGCCCCGTTCTGCTTTCCTTGTGGTGCCAGGCCACCATTCACTACAGAGGCATCCACTAATTTTCTTCCAGCCTCTGGCGTAGATACATCTAGCAAAAGAAACAGAACAATTGGTGTTTGGACCTAATTTTTATTTTGCCTTCTCAAATCTTACTGTCAAGGCAATACACACAAAAGGAAAAAAAATTGTTGTGATAGTTATATGTGTGCAATTATTTTACTTTAGCAATACATTGCTCAGAGAGCTACAGGCAATGGCTTGTGGTACAGAAGCAATATGAAAGAATGAAAGCAGTGGAAAAAGCAGCAGTGCACAATACTAAAAACCAACCTCAGACCAACACCAATCAACTTTAAAAAAAAAAAATCCTGTGTTAAACCTGAAAATATTCTTCCTTCAGCTTACAGTCTATAATTAACTATATAACAAGTATCAGAAGAATGCATAACCGTATCTGGACAAGTGGGTTTCCAGTGAATCTGAAGACAACGCCACACAGAAATTAGGAGGTTTAGCATGGAGTAAACCTAGATTTTCCTGTGAGGACAGAATTACACTTTATTCTGCAGTATAAGGAAAAGGAATGAAAATGAGCTAAATAACTAGCATTCATCAAAAATATGCACAATTCTTAGGCTTGCATGGTCATTTGTATTAAAAATATGCCTGTGATGTCAAATTTTCATGTAACAGCAGAAACATGAGGCTCCAGCTCTATTTTCATCTACATGAGTTTTACAAGGATGTAACTCCACTGAGTAAATTACTCAGGATTTCTGCCAGTGTGCAATGAAGATGCATCTCAGATAACGTAAGCATTGGGTCTGCTGTGCTTAGCCTAGCTTAGCTTAGACATTAAGATAATGACCTAGGCTTTGATATTTTAGGAGAGCTTAAGAGTTTGGTCTGATAAATCAGTTTATCCCTGTAAAAGTACAAAGTGCAGTATTCCAGTCTGAAGAAAATTATGTCGGAGGGACAAGGAAGAGAAGCTTTTAATCTCCCATTTGCATGTATGCCTAAGCATCTGGTCTTTCTACAAATGTGTTTTTCTACCCATGTAATTATAGGACTCCTTCCTCAGTCTTGTAATAACGAAGTACCTCCAGGTATTTTAAGGCTAGGGTAATGACAAGTTATTATTCCCATTTTTACACACGGTGAAAGGAGGCACAGAAGGTGAAATGACTCGTACCTTAGGTTACCGGGAGAACTATGACAGAGAAATGATATCACCCGGATATTCCCAGTGCCAACAATGTAAGTACTCACACATCATTTGGAGTGACTTACATAGTTGCCGTGGTATAAACAGACACGGTCACTGCTGCTACAACACAATTTGCATTGATAAAAGCCGTTCTTGCACTAGGTAAGTTAAAACTGCACAGTCTAGACAAAGCCTCAGCTGCAGTAGTAGGTCTGTTCTACAACATTCTCACGGGAGCAGCTATTGAAAAGGAATCAGAGGAATAAGTTAAATCAATACATAGCCTAAAGAATTAATTAGGTTACTGTTAAATGCTGGAAACTGAGCCAGAAAGGACAGGGGATATATTACAGTTCCTCTATAAATCATACCTTCAACTGGGGAGTATAAGAAAGGCCGATTATTTGGACTATTAAAGTCATGGTGACATTCCAAGCCTATGAATCTGTGTACTACAGTGTTATTACTGCCTTCAGGTCCTCCCTACAAAGAGTTGCAATCAAAGACTTAGACTCTCTAACCCTTAGTTCCTATCTTCAAAGGCTTTGCTAATGGCTGTCCTGACTAGCACTATGGCTTACAGGTCATGGGTTTTTTTTCCTCCTGGATTTCTGCGAGTACAGCATGTCATCCCTGCTCTACCAGCCACTCAACGCAATCCCAGAAAGCGACAGCAGGAAAACAAAAACCAAACTGCCTCACCTCCCTGCTGCCAATACTACTTCTTGAGACCTCATAATTAGCTGCCATGCAGTTGATTGAAGAAGCGCAGGGTTTCCCAAATGAGCAAGAGAAAAACCTTTGATTTGTCTTTTGATTGCGCAGGGCGGCTCCTGAACAGACTGACCAATGAAGCAGCCCCCGCGCCACCAGCACAGCCGCCAAAGGGGGCCTCCCTTCTCCCCAAAACTTCCCGGGTGGTGACTCCCCTGCCTGACGGTAGGGCGAACGGCCTGTAAGTACTGTTGAACTCACTGGGACAATAAATGATGGAAAGGCCAACAGTACTGCCCTCCTTCCGAAAAAGAAACCACACGATAAGTCTGGGGAAAGGAAAGAGGAGGGAACATCCACCCGACATCCCCTAGCACCGTGGGAGTTGATGGAATGGATATCCAGGGTACATCACAAATGGTTTTCTGTGGGGTTTTTTGTGTTGGGTTTTTTTTGGTTTGGGGTTTTTTTGTTTGTTTTCTAAGAATTTAGGCCTGATTTCTTTAGGCCCCAGAAATGGAAATTTCTGATCCATTTTGGAGGTAATTTATGTAGCCAATCACTATCTACAAATCCTAAACCAGTTATTATTTAAATTCACCCATGTATGAGTTGTTCATACATATTGTTGAGTTGTTCCTATGTTGGTTTATAAGTCTTCTTGAAATACCAGAGAAGTTTTAGGTGAATCGAGAGGCCAATCCAATAGTATTTGTTTTGAAGGGCTCTTCAGTAGGAAACGTCATTTATCACCATACTTTCCTCTAAAGAAAAAAAAAAACCAGGGAGCATTTTTAGGACTTGCAAGCACTAAAGAATAAAAAACCCCAGAAAAAGGAAGAAGTAGAAAACAATCCAATTTATAAAATCCATTTTGTCAATAGTGCTCAAGTTCAGTGTATCGTTCCTGCACTTACAGTAGTGGATATACATGAATAAATGGATTATCATAATTTAAGGGAAGGATCATGAAATTTTACAGTTTCAGCAAACAGATTTCAACAACAACAAAAAATTGTTCCAAAATTAAAACCAGGATTTGTTAGCAGATAGAGACCAAAAAATTATTACTTTGTTTAAACTATTTTAGTGATATACCCAGGCAACAGAAACATTACCATGTGGCAAATAATTGTACATCATCATAAACAAGATAAAATTAATCAGGATAAACAAGTCAGAAACAACCAATAGACTGATGCTTATAAAATGAATATGACAGAAGAAATTAATGGACAATTCTTTGAAACAAAAACCTAATTTTTTTTTTTTGTAAATGGATGGTAGTTTCACAATCTCTAGTTTCATACAACATCTAAATGTTTTGAAGATCATTCAAATTATATTAAAAAAAAGGCTTGTGTGAGTAACAGCCTGGGGTTAAGATTTTATTAGAGAGTCAGGCACACTGGGAGAGTGTCATTTCTACATGTTTTCAGGCAGCAAGTACAATGAACAGTTCCTGCAAACTGGATGAATATGTTTGGTTTCTTTTGAGTTTCTTCTAAGCTATCATTACAACAGGCAAATGAAAGAAGATAAGGTCTTGATTTGATTACTTCATCTTTGTGTTGGCCTTCCCTGACTAGCCTTAAGAAGGGGGAGACAAAAAAAACCACCCTAGGATGATATAAAATGTGCCTTTATTTACATGTAAGATTACGCCTCTTACAAAACAAGCAATTAAGCAGACCACAGATTACATGCAAACCACAGCAGTCGTGCTGTCTGCCTCCTAACCAACTCTCCTTGGCAAATAATGACAACAGAAACCTGAATTTTGTTCTATACAGCAGATGTACTCCTCAACCCTATCATTTTTACACTGAGTATAAAAGAAGGCTAAAATGGATTTGCAGAATTAATACAGGTTTACCTTTTGCTAGTTATGATGATGATAATATACTGGGAAAGATCATCTAATAAATAATGGTAAAAGAGATGTGCTGTTCCTTTCAATGGACTTAGATGTTAAAGTCAAACCTGGGAACTAATAAATCAGTATACCAAACTGCCAGTCTTTTGCGGGTGTTTGTACCACATTTATTACTGTGTTATCTAAATTAAGATATTACCAGGACCTGCTGGAGTTCCTTCCTCACACTTGTCTGAGGTACAGACCATGTAAAGCCAACAGTGATACACATCACCTCACAGGCTTGGGAACAACAGGAACAATCCCTGTGAAGTTTGGGTTTAGATGCTTCAGTTTCCTTTTTCTTCTCTCCCTACCCACTGCCCCCCCCCCTGCCCAATTACAAACTGTTTCTGAAGTAACAACTTCAAAGCAGCCACGCATACAGCTTTGAGGTAAGAATTTGAGTGTGAAGAGTGGGAATGACTGGTCTTTTGAGCTACATGCAACGCAGTGCATAGGAGTGAAGCTGCTTTTAAGCTATTTTTCTATTAGAGGAAGCGGGCAATGAGTGCCCTGGTCCCTAATCGGTATCTGAGTACCTCTCAGATTACTCTCATTACAGGTGGCTACCGCTTGCTCCTTCTATTCTACCAGTAGGAAACAGCAGGGTACAAGGAGGTCCCAGGCGCCCCTCCGCTCCTCTTCAGGATGACAACAGCAGGGAGATGCGTGGAGCCGGGCAGTGTGACGTGCCAACTACACCGGCTCGGTGCCAGCAAAAGTCTTCTCAGAATTGGTCTGCATCATCCCAGTCAGGGGCAGCAAGCAGAATAAAAGCCTGCACCTGTCCTGTAGCATTTAGTAGGAACCACTTCTGGTTTTCAGCTGGTTTGTGGTTTTTTCATGACAGCAATTCCATCACGCAGGGAGCAATGAAAGCAGTGAAAAAGCAAGTATGCGGAAACAGCGATCACAGAATGAAAGCACAGTGTAGCTTCCCCGCCTCCAAAATAATGAAAAAAGTAAAAGCACGCAAAGCAACAACATTCAAAACTACCGCTTATCTGCTTACTATCGACATCCCAACCCACCTAATTCATTCGTACTGCTCATCTGGTATCTCAAATCTAACTGGAACGTTTTAATCATCCTGAATTTCCTTCTAAAGACAATTTATCAGATCACGCAGTCACGCCATATGATACTACTTGCTGAGATCCACATGACTTGAAAAAACAAAAACAATCACATTTGGAAGATGGATAAAGAAAACAGGAAGAGTTCTTCGGTGGTCAGTCAAAAAGGG